AGCAGGAAGTTACCAAGACTCATAACCAAGAAGGAGAGGATAAGCGCTCCGTTGTGCCTGGAGTGAAGATGAGTCCATTGTAGGGAAAAGGGAAACATAGACACACCGTACTGGGGAGAATCAGGGCACAGCTTTATTGATTATAGTTGTGTCTTCGGGTCTTGGTGTGCATCGGCTGGGGAAAATGGGTGCAGCTGACAGCCTGACTGCTGACAGCGAACCCACCCAACAGCCTGCCCTTGGGGAAACCCTTTGGAACCCTGGGTAAAATGCCTTCCCGGCCACCGTTAACCAGTGTTAACCCTCTCGGACGTAGCAAGGATGAATAGCAACAACAGAAGTAAAATGTAAAAAAAAAAAAAAAGGTTGGGAAGGGTACATTTTGCTGACAGAGGGCTCTGAGTGCCCAGCTCACCTATAGCTCCTTTCTGTTAAACATGAGCTGTGGATCAGATTGGAGTCTGTAGCCTTATGGACTGCTGGCCTCACCCCACCCCCACCCCCGTCAGCCCTGCTGCTGGCCGAGGGAGGTGGGTAGGGCTGTGGAAAGCTGGCTGAGAGCCATTGCTGAACACAATTGCCCAGACCCCCCCCCCCCCCCCCGCGCTCCACACCCCCATCCAGTAGGGTTGCTGACTTTTGGTTGGGAATTTCCTGGAGATTTGGGAATGCAGCCTGAGAAGGGTGGAGTTGGGGGGGGGGGCAGGACTTCATCAACATATAATTCCATAGAGTCTGCCAACCAAAGAAGCTATTTTATGTAGGGGAATTGATCTCTGAAGTCTGGAGATAATTTCTAATTCCAGGAGATCTCTAGCCCCCACCTGGAGGTTGGCAAGCTCACCTCCCAGCCACCGTTAAATGAGATAACAAAGTTGTCCTTGTCCAATGATCACATCTTAACTATTTTACTATTCCCCTCATTGTAAAACAAATATTCTGAAACTCTTTACTAAGCTGGATGACACAATGTGATTGATGACACCCCAGAAATTAGAGGTTATCTTTTCATTTATTTGAAATGCAAACCGAATAGAAAATCTATAGCTTATTGCCATGTCTTTTAAAGTAAAACCAAGCACCTCCATTGGCCTCCTATTTACATTACTTTGAGGGGGGGGGAACTCTACGTAAAAGCTATCAAGAAACATTTCACAGCAGGCAAATTAATTGGTTTTTACTGTATTTGAATGGAGTGATTGTCAAATAAAACATGCCATGACAGTTAATAGTGTCATTTAGAGGCATAAAATTATTGGCTTATTTGTTATTGGATAAAAACAAAGGCAAACACTTTGTATTAGGAAGTTTTAATGTGTTTAAAATCCTCATTAGGGATTTATGGACATTCTTGCTTCACAGAGCGCCTCATTAATTTGAGGCTAAACAGTTACTTCTGTGTTACTATTCCACTGGTGTGTGTTTGTGTGTGTGTGTGCAAGTGTGTGTACTAGGTTGTTGTTATTTTTAAAACCCTTTCCACTTTTCCTTAATTAGATCTTTCGTTAGTGCTTGAGTTGTACACTGCTTGAAATGTAGAATTTAATTAATGTAATTTATAAATCAAATAGAAGTAAGTTATTTTAGGGTCCCTTTTTTTCTTTGCATTTTAGTGAGCAGTTTATGAAGCCTGATGTTTAAGCACATGCAGATCTGACAGATTTCTGAATCTCAGGGAAGGCCACAGACCTTGATGGTGAATACTTTTAGCAATGTCTCTTGGCACAGATAGATCAAAGTGGCTTAATTAGAATTGTAACCAAGGGGGAGGCAATTAAAAATCTAGTTGAAATCTAGACTTCTTTGGCTTTTTAAGTTCTAGATTGTTGCAAAAGCACTATTTCATCTTATTTTACAGCCCCAAATAATGACAATTAATACAGTCTCCCTGCTAAGGTTACCAGGTCCTCCCTGCCACCAGTGAGGGATGGGGGGTTGGAAAACGTCTGGATATTTGAGGATGGAGCCTGGGGAGGACAAGGATCTCAGTGGGGTACAATGCCATAGAGGCCTCCCTCCAAAGCAGCCATTTTTCTACAGTGGACTTAGAAGATCTGTTTAGAATTGCACAATGTGTTCCTGACGTGACTCAATATGGTATCACTTGTAGGGATGCCCACAAACCAAACCACGAAGCAAAATTCTGGATTGGCTTTCAAGGTTGGGACTGGGAGGCACCATTTCGTGATGTTTTCTTCCCCAGCTACGATTGATGCATTGGATATTTAGATATGAGTATTTAGGGGGATTGCCCAATCGGTCTGCATAACCGTTGTATCAACTGGGTTATGTATTTTATATTATTATGTGCTTCCTGTGTATAACTCTGCCATGCGGTAAATAATAAATAAATAATGGTGGTTTGTTCTTACCTAGAAGATAGGTTTCCGAGTATGGTGATGTATGACTGCTCCTTAGCTCCTTAGCCTCAAGCTAACCATAGCTGTTCCTGGGCAGGAAAGATATTGCCACTGTGGTACATGCCCTGGTAACATCTAGATTAGATTATCACAATGCACGCTATGCAGGACTGCTCTTGAAGGCTGTCCCGAAGCTACAGTTGGTACAGAATGCTGACGGCTGAATGCTGATAGAGGTTCCTAAAGTTATACATGAGGTAGAGAAAGTTGAGAAAGGAAGTTTTTCTTCCTCTCCCATAAAAGTAGAACTCAGGGGTACCCAATGAATTTGATGGGCTATATGTACAGGTCAGACAAAATTGTGGGGTTCAGTGTCAGTGCAGGCCATGAGCACAGATAGCCTTAAAAGGGGCTTAGACAGATTCATGGAGAAGTTGTCCTTCAGTGGCTACAAGCTATGGTGAGTAAAGGGAACCTCCACATTCAGAGGCGGTAAACCTCTGAAACCCAATGCTAGGAAGGCAATGTCAGGGGAAGGCCTCGGTCTCTGCCCTGATTGTTGGTCATCCAGGATAACTAGTTGGCTGCTGTGAGAAATAGGAGGCTGGAATAGATGGACCACTGGTCTGATTCGTCAGGGCTCTTCTTAAGTACTTTTGTTCTTATGTTTTGAAGTGTCACCTCAGTTGGCTCGTTTAAATTTTCATGGATTAACAAAGAGAAACAAGCAATGGCCATTTAAAAGTAGGGAATGATCATTATCACAGTTGAATAAGGCATATTTCTCTGTTTGAATGTCACAAAGAATTAAGATTTCCAGATAGTCCAAGATACCATGAACGCAGGACATAACAGATACCTCTGGCATTCAATGGCGTGCCATGCTTGTGTGGTCCCAAAGGCATCTGACTCGCTGCATTTGAAAACAAAACATTGAATTTGATGAACTTGGTTTGATCTGCCAAGACAGCTCTTATGCGCTTAAAGAAAACTCTGCATAAGTTTTTCATGTAATATGAAATGCATCAGAGACTACAGAAACTGTAGATTGCCCATATGTTAAATCTGGCTAGCAAGTGGTGCAAGAAAGTAATTGACAAATTGGAATGGGCTCAGAGAAAGACAACAAAAATGTTTTGTGGGTTTGGAAACCAAGTCCTATGAGGAAGTGTTGAAGGAACTGGGTGTATTTAGCCTGATGCAGAAAAGACTGAGGAGTGGCATGATCGTGCTCATCAAATACTTGGTGGGATGTCACTTGGAAGAGAGCAAAGCCTTGTTTGCTGCTGCTGCAGACACCAAGACTAGTTCTGATGAGATTCAGTCATGAGATGGTAGGTTTCAGCTGAAAATTGAGAGGCATTTCTTAAGAATTAGAGTAGTTCAGCAATGGAACCAGTACCCAGTGTGGTGGTGAGGTCTTCTTGCTTGTTGTCTTTGAGCAGAAATTGGACATCTAACTGTGAGGAATGCTTTTCCTTTGGTTTTCCTGCATAAAGCAGAGAGTTGGAATAGATGTAGTGCCCCTTCCATTTCTATGGCTTTATGTTACTAAGTGAGCAATAACTGTCCTGCCTTTGTTGTGCATTATAAGCAACTACACTTTCTGTCTTTGCACCTTCTTTTCATTATGTCATTCTTCCAAGTCCATTATTTGAACAGTGTCATGTAGTGGTTAGGGTACAGACTTGGAACTGGGTTGATGTAGGTTCAAATCCCCACTCAGTGATGAACCTCATGGTGACTACAAGCCAGTCACTGTATCTTGGCCTTATTGTGAAGAGAATATAGAGGGGGGTTACCACATGTGCTTCTCTGAGCTCCTGGGTGGAAGGGAGGGATCAAAATAGAGTAGATTAGTAGATCTTCCCACACTGCTACGGTATGTGCTATCCTTACTCATCAGATAACCCACATGATTGGCACAAACCCACATGGTTCCCAATCTCGAAATATTATTGGAACTGCAAGGGAAAAAGCAGCTCTAGTGAAGGGATCCTTATGGCAGGTTTGGTGACCACAGGATGGTTCTACAGGCAACTGAGCAGATGAATGCAGATAATCATAATCATATAGATGGAGAAGCAGACCTGTCTGTTTCTGAGCAACAAGGCTTAAAATGAGGAGCCAGGCCCAAATCAGCATCTTTGGAGAGCCAGATGAGATCTTATTGGGTCACCTGATCCTTGCTGTCTTGGAAGCTGTAGTACCACCCCTTTGGCTGTGTGTCACAGTAGCACTGCTAGCATAAGTACTTGCAGGCTGCCACAGTAGTCAAGATGCTTCAACCCTCTTGCCAGAATCTCTAATTTAAGCCTCGATGCTTTACAGCACCAAGACCTACCCTAATACTGACCCAGCCAGAGGTAGAGGGGGCCTTTTTTACAAAGGAAGGTGTGAAGTTACAGATAAATATGAAAGGTATCATATTTGATAGTGAATGGTTTCATTATGTTCATATATTGGTGGCTTATGAGATTCACTGTCTCCATGAATATATTGAAAAGTGTGAAAATGGTTTATATGTTGGGCATTGCATGTGTCCAGTTGCTAAATATGACCTAGTAAACTAAGTGACTTTCACTGTAATTAATGCAACGTTTGTTTACTTTCTGACGGAATTATCTTTCCCCCCTCTAGGTTAACCTTCCCAATGATTCCAACTGTGTGGAGGAGATATTACGGGTAAGTTGAAATGTTTCCTTTTGATGACATTTGAGAACTTGGTACACAGGATTAGAGTGGCAGAGAAAGATCTGGGTTCAAATACTGGATTAGGTACTCTCAGCCCCAAAAATGAAATGGGCCAGGGAATAATATATGCCTTTCCCTAAATTCCATAGGCAAAGGGTGGTATTAAAACACAATAGACAAAGTACAGTTTATTAATGGTATTACTTTGTGGAACATGGCCATTGAGTTCAGAATTATGCAACAAAGTAGGAATATAAAGTCATTTACCTAATTAAAAAGGCAGCAGGTAAGAAAATCCCTGGTGAGCACATGGATTTGAAAGTGTGTTCAGTCACGCTCTTCATAATCTGGAGAGGCACTTCCCTTTGCCTGGCTATCTCAGTGAGTCAGCATATATTTTGGAACTATAAATCAGAGGAGCACCGCTACAGATCTCTTTGCTGGATCCTGGCAGCAGGATCTTTCCCTTTGTCTTGGAAAGCCATCATGTCCTCCGTCATGTGAGACTTTCTTGTATGTAGGTTCTCCTTTACAAACCCATCCCCTCCACACAGACGTCTCCTATAATTCTGCTACATGCATTGCATCAGTTTGGTTGGGAACTTAGGCTCTAGCCTAAGACACTCTAGAGTGTCCAGACCCGCTTGAGACATACAGCTGCCCAGTTAATACTCACAAATTTGATCCTGTGTGGACAGAGGCCTTCACAGAGAAGCTTCTGAATTAGGGTTCCTGATGATGTCACTTCCAAGTGGGGGCTACAGTTCTTGGGGGTTCACTGAGCAGATGCATCCATCAGACCACACATAAAATCTGTTGTTCACTGCTGGAAGCTGCTGATGTACACCAAGACTGGCACTTTGACTTCCTGTGCATGGCTTAAGGATACACAGATAAATGAAGCCTTCATGTTCAGAGGCAGTATATCTCTGAATACTGGTTTATTGGGGGTAATAGTAAGAGAAGGCTTTGGTCTCTCTGATTTTGGACCTTCTGGGGGTATTTAATTAACAACTATGGGAACAGGTTGCTGGATTAGAGGGACCATTAGTCTGATGTTCTTCTTTCTTGAGATATTTATACCCCACTGTTCTCCCTAATGGGGGCCCAGAGTGACTTAATAACATAGTTCTTCCTTCCTTCGTTTTATCCTCACAACAGTAATTCTACGTGGTTGGTTAGGCTGAGAATGAGTGGTTGGCTCGAGGTCACCCGAGTGAGGATTCAAACCTGCGTCCCCCAGATCCTAGTGAAACTCATTACGCCATACTGACTCTCTGACCTGGCAGGACTCCCCTGAGCTCCTGCTTCTTTTTGTGCTGCCATCTGCGGAGTAAGTCCTGGGACATCACATCCCTGTGGGAGCAGCCTCCATTGGGGGGTGGGGAGCCAGCCCTGAGAAACTCCGGAGGCATTCACTCCAGGAACAGCCTGATTCTCCTTAGGAACCTGCCTTCCATACTTTTGAACAAATAGCTGGACAGGTGTGATATTAATTAAAAGCTTCATCGTCTCGAGCAAAACAAAACCTGTGCATAATTAGAATAAAATGATTGGAGTTAAATGAACAAAAAGTCTGTAATTTATTCTCTCCTCTCTCCTTCTGATGGCTAGCTTCAGTCTAATGACCTTGGAGAATATGTAAATTGATCAGCAGGTGAATATGCCCTTGACTGAGTAAATTATGTGCAGTGTTGCCTTTCTTGTGCTGTTTAGGGAGGTAAAAAGCCCTACTAATAGACTTAATAAGTGTCAGCCGCAAGTTTTGAACTGAACCTCCCAGCTAAACCGGAGCCATGGATTCCCAGATCTGCCAGAAATACCACCGCAACTGCGAAGCAGCTGTCAACTGCATGGTCAACATGGAGCTGTATGCCAGCTACATCTATCTCTCCATGTCTTCCTACTTTGACCATAATGATGTTGCCCTGTGACACATTGCTAAGTTCTTCCAGTCGCAGTCTCATGAAGAGCGGAAAAACGCTGACAAGCTGCTTCAGTTCCAGAGCCAGTGGGGTGGCTGCATCCTCCTGCAAGATATCAAGAAGCCAGAATGTGATGCCTGGGGCACAACTCTTGTTTCAATCGAGGCAGCCCTTCACCTGGAAAGGAGTGTGACTCAGGCCCTTCTGGAGCTTCACCGCCTGGCAAGAGACCAGGGAGACCCCCATCTCTGTGACTTCCTGGAGACTCACTACATCAACGAATGAGTCAAAACTATCAAGGTCCTGGGTGACTATATCACGAACCTCTGACAGCTGGGGAAATCCGGGAGGGGTGGCTTAGAGAGTATCTCTTTAACAAGCACAACCTAGGAGAGAGCAGCAGCTGAGTGTGGCATGCCCCCCCCCTTATTCCTGGGAGCACCGCCTCTGTGAACCCACAGATCATACCCACCACTATCACAATCACCGTGCCCCAGTCAAGGGGGTTGCACCTGCCAGCTCTCGATTGGCATGCTTCCAATAAACAAGGGTTCAACAGATTTTTTTTTTTTAAGTGCCAGCCGCGCCTGAGGAGACTAGTTCACCAAGCAAAAATTAGCTTCCTAATAGGTTTATCCCATTGTCCCCCTCCCTTCAGGCCACCCTGTTAATTTTGTGACATATGCCACCCTTTTGTGACATGCATACATATATATGTATATTTTTCAAAAGATGCAGAAGAACTGTGCCAGACCAGAAGGGCAGTGACTGCATTTGGATTATCGGCACAGTGTCTAGCGTGGGCACAGATGTGTTCAGAAGCCCACAAGCATTTTCCTGTGGATCTGGAAGCTTTTCAGCGAGAGGACGAGGATATGATCTGAATTTCAAATGCTTTGATGTACGTCATTGGCTGAGTGAATAGCAAAGCTCTGCCTGGTTGAGTAAATCATGGGAATCTGTCAAATGTGGGAACACCTTGGGAAGGATGTGATGTCAGACATCAGTCACTTAGCAACCTAGCAGTTTGCTTGCTCAAGAATGAGTAAGAATAGCCACTTTTCAACAGCTGAGTAAATAAATATTAAGCCGTGTGTGTCTCTTATGTGCTGTTGGAACTGAAACGACTTTGGAGTCACTGCCCTTTCAGAAGATTCCTCAGGGCTGGGGTGTGTGCCTTTCAGCTCCAGGGTGTCTCTGCCCACCCAGACAGCCCATGGACTCCCCTGGACCTGTAGGATGCCAAAGGGTTAAGCAAAGTTCACAGGTCAGCACACATCATATGGATGGGCTACTTCTGCATTCTGTATGCCAGGGCTCCAGATCAGGTTGAGCGGCAGCCTGCAGTTGCCTGTCCACTCAGCACTGTGCAATAAAAATCTACTTTTCAGCAGATGTCATCAGACCAAGTTCATGCTGAGTTAGGAGGCAAAGTCTTGGGAGCAAAACAAGGCCAAATGAGGCAGGGCTGAAGCCAAGGTGAATCAAGGCAGGACTGTAGCAAGGGCCAGGAATGACAGGAGCAGGAGAGTTTTTCTGATTGATTCAAACCAAGAAAGCCTAACTTAGGAAGCTTTCATAGGGAGTCATGCTTTACCACATGATTGTTGTTGTTGTTTAGTTGCACAGTCGAGTCCAACTCTTCATGACCTCATGGACCACATCACACCAGGCCCTCCTGTCTTCTGTCATCTTCTGGAGTTTGCTCAACTTCATGTTCATTGCATCAATAACACTGTCTACCCCATCTCATCCTTTGCTGTCCCCATATGATTAGTACTGGTCTATCGCAAGAAGAAGAAGAAGAAGAAGAAGAAGAAGAAGAAGAAGAAGAAGAAGAAGAAGAAGAAGAAGAAGAAGAAGAAGAAGAAGAAGGAGGAGGAGGAGCTCCCCACAACAGACACCCTGCGAGGTACACAGGGCTGAGAGAGCTCTTTCCAGAACTGTTCTTGAGAGAACAGCTCTGACAGAACTATGGCTTGCCCAAGGTCACCCAGCAGCTGCAAGTGGTGGAGTGGGGAATCAAACCCAGTTCTCCCAGATTAGAGGCCACGCACTTAACCACTACACCGAACTGGCTCTCAGGAGGCCAAGGCCTTCTGAGATCTACCACAAGCTCCCAGGCAAACATTTCTTCACAGCTCCTCCTCACACCATTTCAAACTCTCCCTCCTGTCCCCCTTTCCCCCCTTTCTCTGCTTTTCAGTGCATGTCCCTGGGGCTGTTGTGCATGACAGCAAGATGCAGTGGATGGATGCATTGACAGGGCAGCACTTACCCTTTTCCCTCCTTCTTATAAAGGGAATGTTGAATTTCTAGGTGCCCCACAATGGTCCCTTACCCTGCTTTGTGTGCCCCAAGAGCATCTAGGGACCCTGACAGGTTGTTCCCCCGGATCCTGTCCCTCTTGGCAGCCATGCAAGAAGCTATTTTCTTGGTCCAGCTTGTCACCACTTGCTTTAGCCAAAGCTTGCCAGTGATGTGCTGTCAGGCTGGATGTCCCTGAAGACTGCTATTGACTCAAGTCCTGACCATAGGTGGCTCTTTTGGGTTCTTCCATTGTCCAGGAGGGCCAGGCCTCTCTGATGCTTGTATCTTGTTCCATTAGAAGCTGTTAAGAGTTGTCATGTTCATGCTGATGTATATTCAGATTATTACCTAAATCACCTTGGGAACTTTTCAAGCTGAAAGTGCACAAAATAAATGAATAAATATTCCTTGTTTTTGCTGTTCGTGCAAGGTGGAGGGGGGGAGATAAATGGTAGGCGTAGCCCATCTGTGTGATGTCTGTCGACCCGTGAACCGTTGCTTAATAGATAAGATGTGAGAAGAACTCATTAAGCCTTGAATGAGACCTGAGACATGGATACAGAGCAGTGAGAAAAAGAAACAGCCATACACAAGTCACGGAGGGCACACATGAGCAATTACCAGTCTCCTTCATCAGTGAGCTGACTGAATGCTTATCTTGCTCTGCCCTCTATCTATATACCCTCTCCAGCTCTGTGTCTAATTGGGAGTGGTCCTTAGAATGGATCAGACGTCTCTTTGATGGGTCATTTATTT